TCCAGGGAGACGGCTCCACCCCTGCTGCCAGCCCCCAGTGGATGCTGCCGGAGACCACATTCTTTTGTTTGGAGGGGCTGATAGGAACCAGCTCTAGGGGTCCCCTTCACCTTGCCAGACTTGGGGGGCAGTGGGCCAGGGGAGGATTGGGGAAGTGCCTGTAGTCAGCAGGGGCCTGGACCACACCGACCCCTGGGAAGCCCAGCATTCCCGGCCTCAGGCCATGCTGGAATCTGGGCTGCCTTAGATGTGTCTTTGACCTTCCTGGCTTAGGGGGAAGGGGAAGGTGGGAGGGCTCCTTTCTACCTCCAGTGCCCTGAGCCTCCAGCCCATCTCCCCCTGCCTGCCCCACGTGGGAGGTGCTGAACCCAAACCAGCATCATGCCAACTCTGACAGATGGATGTACATATCTTGGGGGGATGGTCTAGAACTGGGTTTGACGGCTCCCCCCAGAGCCGCCTCACCTGAGATCCTTCTCTTTCTCCAAGCCAGATCCAGTCAGCCCCTTCCCAAACCTCAGCCCTGGGACCTGTGCTCCCCCTCCCATGCCCTTTTTGCTCTGTTGTGTGTGTCCAGTCCCCCTGCCACCTGCCAGGAGGGAAGGCAAGGGAGCGGTGCCGTCCTGGGTCTCCCTGGCCCAGCTTTGCTTCATGCTGGGCCGGAGGGGGACGTAGCAAAGAGCGGGGTGGCCAACTGTGCCAGCAGCCTCCCCCCTTGTCCCCTCCCCTGCCCTCCAGGCCGGCAGTTCCAAGGATTTGTCTCTCTACCTTCTGTCCTAACACTGACCCAAGGTCTCCCCACTAGGACATTAGTGGGGGTTAAGAGGCAGGGGCCGGGGAACCTCCGGGGCTCGCCCCGGCACACGAGCCTGTGGCGGAGGGATCGTGAAGGTGCTGAGCTCCTGGCCCCGGCTTCTCAACGGCTGCCACCTCCTTTCAGCCCTCACGGCCTCCTGGCTCTGACCCAGAAAGTGACTCATTTGTAAATTATCATGGTTTTCTGCATTAAAAAAATGGCCATTTCTGGATCGCTCTGGTGTCTGAGTGCCTATGGCGAGAATGTGATGTAGGGGGTATGATTTAGTTCTCCTGCAGTGAGGGCGACGGGGGTTGCAACCCGCTTCCTCAGGGTCTTTCCCACCCTGGTCTCCATGCACCTGTTTCCCTGAGGCCTGGGCTCCTGGCTTGGGAGAGACCTGGGCAGGGATGGTAAGTTCCACTGCTTTTCTACCTTCGAGCATCTTGCTAGAAGAAGGTGACACCAGGAAAGGGAGCTAGGCTGTGGCTTCCAGGCAGGTGGTGAACCAGTGGGACCCTGGATCGGGGGCACTCTGGACCCCCTCCTGGGCTGGCGCTGGCTGTTGAGGGGGAAGGGGGTTGCTGCCCTGCCAGCTAGCCCACAACGGTGATTTCTGGGTCTGCCGTGTCACTTTCTCAGGAGGCCCGGGGGGCAGAAGAGCAGGTACTCAGAGGGGCGTGGGGCTGCCCCTCGGAGCAGCACCGGTTGCTACACATGTGCTGTTTCCACGGGCCCCCAGAAGGTACCCGGTGCCCTTAAGAGCGGTAGCAGCAGTGGCCGCCTGCCAGGTAGACTCTGGCTGTTTGGCTTTTGCCGAGAAAAGTACCAGCTGCCATGGCAACCGCTGGAGCTGAGCTGGCCCCAGCAGCTGGGGCCTTCAAGGTCATGGTGATCCTGTGTGGCCCGGCCCCCAGGCAGAGCAGTACCAAGCCCAGGAAGGGTCCTCCTGGAGGATGTGGCCTAGTCCCACCTGGGGCTGGGCTACCGTGGGGTCAGGCGCGTGCGGGGCCTTCTCGAGAACCGAATGGCAGTGCCCCTCCTCCTTGTTCCTCTCAGAGCCACCTCTGGAGCTGAGGGCAGAGATAACTACTGTGAAGGCAGCTTCGTTTCCAGCCTCCTGGGGCCTTGATGTCACCGCGTGGGAGACGGTGTTGCAGTGGTGAGCAGGAATGGCTGGAACAGGGGGCCCCCCCAGGTACCATCCTGTGCCCCTCCGGCCCCGGCCACCACCTGCACCAAAGGACTTAATCTGCAGGCACCATCTCACTGCCTTGGAGAAAACATCCTCATTCCTCCAGTTCTCCAAGGGAGTGGGCGGGGTGGGGAGGGGAGCTCAGGACACCCCTCCCCTCAAAGCCTGGAGTCCTGACTGCCACCCTAGCCCCCTGGTTCCACATGCCAGGCCACGGCAACTCCGGGGGCCCCCATTCCCTCAGACCTTCCTCAGGGTCTAGCAGGAGCTCGGACCCTCAGCCGTTGCAAGAGACGAAGGAGGGCAGACGAGGCTCAGGCCCCAGCCTTCCTGGCCTCACTGCCTACCTGACCCTATGGTGCCTCTCAAGGAGACAGGGCTCTGGGGCACCAACCAGGGGTCCTCGGGGAGGGCTCTGTCCATCCTAAGAGGATGTGGGGCACACGGTTCCAGCAGCTGCAAAGGAGGGCAGGATAAGGGGTCCTAGAGAGTGACAGTATTGGCCTCAGGCTCCCTTAAGGCCACAGAAGACTGGGGAATAGGGAAGCGCTGGGCTGGCACGGGCTGAGGGTGGGGCTGCCTGGGAGTGTCCTGACAGACTGCCCTGATTTGGTTAGGAACACAGTGTGGGAGGTGGTGTGGACTGGAGGGTGGGGGGGGACCAGGACAAGGGAAATTAAGATGAGCAATTCTCCCCGCTGACCACTGGAGGGCAGGCGCCACATCAGCCTTGTTCCTCTTCCCTAGGACCACCTGTGTCTTTCCTCGGGTGTGGTGGCCAGGAGAGGCGGCCCAAAGCTCTGGGAGGGTGGACTGGGAAAAACCCAGCAAGGCCAGTAGCCAGAACCCTCCCTAGATCAAAAGGCCAGGACCTAATTCCTTGGGGAGTCTTCACTCCCCAGTTAAAGGCCCTGGAATCAACCACACCCAACTTCTCTCACCACTTCCCTGGTTGTGAACACATAACCTCTCTTAATCCAACCCCAGTCTAACTCTTCCACTGGAAGCCCTTCGGCTTTGCTGCCCCCCTTCCGTCTTAACGGGATTAATTTGACTATAAGAGTTGGACTGTTTATCGAGCATTGTTAATATGCACTTTGAAAGCTGGTCATCAGCCCTTTTAGGTCCAATGGATACATTCTCTTAGATAGGTTTTGAATGACAACTTCAAACACGTAAGGTCACAGAGCCCCGAAGCACATCACTAGCGACCTTGCTGCATTACTCAGTGACCTGGGGGCCTTCTAACTGGGCTCGGGCACACAAGCCCTTTCCTGGGATGAGGGCTTGCAGCAGCTTTCAGGAGATTTTCAAAGGGCTCCTTCTCCAAAAGGGAATACAAATTATGGATAAAGCTTGACCTTGGTGTTTGCAGAGGAGGAGGATGAAGCCTAGAGGGCACACTTGACCCTCACCTTCAGCCAAGGCCATGTGACTACTTCTAGAGAGAACCCAAGTTTCCGGGACTCCCTCCACTGCTCTCACCACTGCCTTTTTAGGATCCAGGTGGGCAATTTGTGGGGAGGTCTGGCTTACCTCCTTGAGATGGGCAGTGGCTTCAGGGTGCAGGCTCTGGGGGTGGTGACAGTCTCTCCAGAGGCTTGGCCTGGCCTTCCCTGGCCTCAGGTTTCCTCCCAGGTCCCATGCCCGAAGATCCCCGGAGTTGCCACAAGGGGGCAGTGGTGGCTGGGCTGGCAGCACTTGTAGACATTCTGGACAGGGGCCAGCAGCCCTCCCCTCCCCCGCACAAGGGCCAGATTCTGAAATGGTCTGTGTTTATTATGCCAACAGAAAACAAAAATTCCCCAAGTGTAAACAGGAGAAATGTGCTGGTTAAGTTACTCATTATCTTATTATTAACAAAATAAAGCACTATCTATGTTTACAGTCATAAAAAAAAGAAACAGCCTGGAGAGAAGTTGGGCTTGAGGGAAGGGCGGGGGGGAGAGACAGGGAGAAGATGGGGGGCAGGCACAGAAGCCACATCTGCCCCTGTGGGGTTAGGGTTCCCTTCCCACCCTGATCCAAGGGCTGTTCTGGATCGTTGGAGTCAGGTGCCGGTGGGATGGGACTTTCATAGGGAAATAACCTGTCCAGTGGGAGCAGGAGCGGAGGTGAGTTCCCCAGTGTTAGTGTAGGGGGGAGGGGAGGGGAGGGGAGCAGGCTGGCAGAGAGGTGGTCTTACCCTCCCACTCCCTACTCACCAGCTGCCATGGGGGGAGCCCTGCTCCCCAGGAAGGAGGGAACACCATCAATCCTGTCCCCAACTCCTGGCCCTCAGGTTGGGACCAGGGACAGGGGCACCAAGACCGAGCCCCTTGGAGGCTGAACACATTCCCACGTTGCTCAGAGCTAAAAATGACTGTGGGAACCAACCGTAGGGCAGAGTCAGGGAGGGAATGAAGGGACAGGAAGGGGAGGTCAGGGCGGCTGGTGGGCCCAGGGGCCTGACAAACCCAGGCTGACCAGTGGTGTCAAAGGGGGCAGGGGCGGGGGCAGAGGCCAAGAAGGGACACAGAACAGCCCTGCAGAGAACACAAGGACACACAGAACCTGAGACACCCAGACTGACAAAGAGGTAGCAATTTGGGGACAATGAAGCACAGGAAGAGGCCCCCAGAGAAGCAAGAGGTGGCATCAAGAGACACACCCACAGGAACTCAGCAACAGTGCCTGACACACAGCAGGCACTCAATAAATACCTTGTGCAATGAACGAGCAGGTGGAAACACACACATGAGCATGTGCACACACACACAGCAGCCAGAGGCACAACGGGCTCAGCAGAAGATGAAGACAAGGGATAGCCAGACCTTTCTGCAGAGTACAAAGTGATCCTGTGATAGAGGAGTGATGATCTGGGGGGGGGGGGGGGGGGGGGGGGGGGGGGGGGGGGGGGGAGTTGGTTGGTCCTATAGGGGCTGGTCCAGCCAGGACAAGAATGAAAACAAAGCATGTGGTCCCAGGGGGACAGGTCTGGAGCTGCCAGGCCCCTGGGGTGAGTGGAGCTGCCAGGCCCCTGGGGTGAGTAGACCTGCAGGAAGGGTCATACAGTGTCCGCTGGCCACGAGCCCCAAGGGCCAAGGTGCACTCAGCACATCGCTGCTCTACAGGCCCCGCCCACCTCAGCCCACAGTGCATCAGGTGCGGCCCCAGGGGAGGTGATGGGGCATCTCCCCTCAGGAGGATATCTACAAGTGCACAGCTGTGCCCCTCTCCTGGGCAAGTCCAAGTACCAACGTAGTCCAGGCCGGCTGGCTGTGCCCATCGGCTTGGGGCCGGGCCCTCCCAGCTGGGATCAGTCCGTGAGCACCACCAGCTCCCCATCGCTCTTCTCCTCGCCCTCCGAGTCTTCGTCTTCGCTGTACCGGTACATCTCGCCATCAGCCACCGAATGCCTGTCTTCTGCAGCCTCGCCCTCCTCCCTGAGGCTGCAGGTGTTGACGATGACAGGCATGTTGGGGTCCAGGCTCCGGGGCACATAGTGCTCCACCAGGGGTTGAGCCAGGGGCACGCCTGCCACTCGAGGGTACAGGACCTCCGAGGAGCTCATCGGCAGCTGGCCAGCCTGGGGGCTGCAGGGCAGACAAGAGGCACACTTGCAGAGGGACCCCCACCTCACACCCCCAAATCCAGCTCCCCTCTGGTTCACTTCAAGGCGTGCCCTCCCCACCCCACGACCCTTTTGCCTTGAGACATGCACACTGCCACCTGGCTTGCTTGCTGCTGACAGCCAAATTCATGGTCCACTATAGCCCTGCTCACACATGCAGTCCGGAGCCCGGAGCATGTTCAACAGATATGCCCGGAGGCTCCTGTGTGAATCCAGTTTTTGGAAGTTCTCTATTTAGATGCCCCAGGGCGGGGTTTGAAAGAATCCATGCAGGAGCTTGCTTTTGTCAAGTTGGGAATCCGCTGTATAATAAGTACCTTCATTTTTAGCACCCTTGAATTTTTTTTTTTTTTATGGAGTTTGTGATTCATAGGCACACGTGGCCAGTCTCCCACAGTCAGGTACAATCCTATGCCCTGAGCCACCGGGCAACCCCTACGGCCATACACACGGGCCCAGGCAGACCCAGATCACGCCCACACACATCTAAGCTCCAAACCAACAGACAGCACCGGGGTCACACTCAAAGGCACGCACGCCACACACTCACGGCCACGCACAGGAGCGGCAGGTGCACAGGCACGTGGAGGGGGGAGAGGCTTGGCCTCCTACGGTGGGGCTACTCACGGGGTCACGTAGCTCTGGCGGGCGTCCTGGCGCCTGGTCCTCATCAGGGCTTTGTACTCGCCCACCCGCAGCCGCTTGCCCTCCACGATGCAGGTGCGCTTGGGCCGTGGCTTGTACTTGTAGTCCGGGTACTTTTCCAGGTGCTGCCGGCTCAGCCTTGCCTGCTCCTCGTAGTAGGGCTGCTTCTCCTGGTTGCTCATGGACTTCCAGCGAGAGCCTGGCCCGGCCCCCGGGGACAGGCAGTCAGTGCTCAGCTTGCTGACCACCCCCAAACCCCCTATACGTCCCTAAGAGTTTGGCCCCCAGCTGGATCAACAAGGTGATAGATGTGCAAGCACCTAGCGAGGACCCGGCCCCACATGGGTGCCCCTTGGATGTCAGTGGAGCAAATGCATGAATGAAGTTGGCATGTATGTGGGCATCCATTTATGGAGTAACCACATCCCAAACTACCCAGCCACTTCTGGCAGGCTCGGCCTGGCTCTGCCAGATTTGCAAAAAAACAAAAGAGCAGCCAACCCCAGGCCCCCTGCTGAGGACAAAATGCCCCATTTTCACAAGAGACAGAGGAGCCTCAGCCTTGAAAACAACTGCCACCTTCTAGCCCCGCCCCACCTGCCTTAGCTTCCAGTCAGGACACAGAATTTGTTTTTAAAAATCTTTCTACTAGGAGCACCTGGGTGGCTCAGTTGGTTAAGCGACCAACTTTGGCTTAGGTCATGATCTCATAGTATGTGGGTTCGAGCCCCACAACAAGCTCTCTGCCAACAGCTCTGAGTCTGGAGCCTGCTTCAAATCTGTGTCTCCCTCTCTCTCTCTGTCCTTCCCCCATGCACACACGCTCTCAAACATTTTTAGAGCATTGGGTATTATATGGAAACCAACTTAATAGACTATTAAAAAAGGAAAAAAAATTTTTTTAAATGAAAAAAAAGAAAACCCAAAAACAAAACAAAAAAAAACTTTGTACTAGTATCCCTGACTGGCTCAGACAGAACATTCAATTTTTTTTTTTTTCTTTTTATTTTTTTAGAGAATCCAACTCTTGATCTTGGAGTCCTGAGTTCAAACCCAGTGTTGGGTGTAGAGATCAAATAAATATTTTTTGTTTAAAAACAAAAAACCGCCACCACCTCTCTAGGGACAGCCCAAGAATGCCAATCTTTCCTTTTTCCTGCCACAGTTCCAAGGGTCTAGGCAAACAGAACAGGTTAGGGAGAGATCAGGGGCTAGAGAATGTATACACACATACCACACTCCTCAATTCTTGGGGTCTAGAAGAGCCCCAGAGTGGTAATAACACCCCAGGACCCACCAGACTCCTCGGAAGCTCAGCACAACCGGGACTGTCCCCCAGCAAGCGCCAAGTAAAGCCAGCTGGCTCCTGCCACCAGGTCTTGCTGGCATGGCCCCTGGAGCCCTGAGAGCCCATACCCACCGGCCCTTACCAAGGATCTTGCTGATGCTGGAGTTGTGCATGTCTGGGAAGGCTTGGAGGATCTTCCTTCGCTCATCTTTGGCCCACACCATGAAGGCATTCATAGGCCTCTTGATGTGGCTGCTGTTCCGGGACTCTGGAAAGTGGCGGGAGCCTGGGGGACAGCAGTGAAGTCAGCCAGGGAGGGCAGCCCCTCGGGGTAGGGCTGGCAGAGACCTCCATTATTTGGCCACTAGGGGGCGATGGGGAGGCTCCCACAGGAGCCAGGGACCCTGGAAGCAGGACCTCAGCAGGGGCCCAGCCAGTGACCCAGAGACTGACAAGAGCCAGACACAGGAGGGGACTTCAGACACAGGAGGGGACTTCAGACACAGGAGGGGACTTCAGACACAGGAGGGGACTTCAGACACAGGAGGGGACTTCAGACACAGGGTCTGGGAGAAAAGGCATCTGGGAGAAAAGGCATCGGGGAGGCACACAATCTGACCCACCCTGACCCCGTAGGAAGCAGAGGTGGGCCCTCCTGCCCCCCAGTCCCTCACCATCCATGTCACAGCCCAACATGGCTTCTTCCAGGGGGTGCACACAACTCTCCTCCAGCCGCTCCTTAGCCGGGGATGTGTCCAGGCTGATGAGGTCCTGGAGTTGACACACAAAATCTGTACATGAGCCCCTCTGCATCACCCCACACCCCTCCCTCCAGCAGACTCAGACCGAATCTTCCACCCCAGTCCCTCAGCTTCCCTGCATCCTGCCCCAGTGCAGGGGAGCCCTCATACCTTGCGGAAGGGGGTGTTGGGGGAGCCCTCTAAGGCCCCACTGTGGCCATGCAGCAGCTGTCGAGCATCCTGAATGGCTTTGGTGACCGCGTCCCCTTCACCAAGGAAGCCTATGGGAAAGGGGGGGAGGAGGAGAAATGGGGGGGGG